TTTTATGTATGTTTATCTTAAATAGCTAATAAAATTAGCAAATACCTACATTTCTGAACTTTTAGTGCTGTATTCCAATTTTGTATTTTACGAAATTTGCTATCGGATGTAAACAAACAACAGCTGTTATTTCCAATTGTCTTCTTGCACATTTGTGCCTGGAAAAAAGTTCGGGCCGTTTCGGGCACGAAGAAGAAGACATTTACGATCCGAATGTGAAAGGAATGCTTTCTGGGCTGTTTTGAGCACCCGCGGATACCCTAGGGCCCGTATGAAACAAACCACTTAATAATTTCATTAACCTCGGTGGGGTTGCCTTCACTCGTTGCTCTATCTCTTGTGAGAGATATTTTGCTTTTTGACAGTTCTATGCTGGAACGCATCTAATTTGTTGTGTTGTTTTTTTGTTTTTGGGCTGCCGCCGCCAACCTGAACGCATTCGCCTGGGTTTCTATTTTCATCTGACGTACAGCTGTTCTTTGATTTAACGAAGGTAAAACGTTCCCAAACCGTTTCCTTGTGCACTTAAAAAAGTATATTTCTTAATTCTGTGAGCATGAATGAGGAAGCTACGAAGGTAATTTTTAGTCCGTTATTGCCACAATATGCTTACACAAAACTTACTTTTAGCTGCAATGGTCGAAGGAAGCCGTGCTTCATCTAATTGAATTGTGGGAATCATATGAGTGCCTATACAACCCAAGCCATAAGTTCTATCATAATAAACATGCGCGGTATCAGGCGCTAAATGAATTGGCAGAAAGTTTAAATCGTTTCGTGCCCGGCATTGGTCCCTTTGAAGTTAAGGTAAATACATTTACAATAGGGCTGTTCATTGTGGAAATGGTCTTGGATTGGCATGAGGAATTGCATCTGCAACCTTTATGCTGCTACCTTGACAACCATTTGCATTTTATTATATGTATGTATCTATATAATTATTAATAAGATATTTTATTTAAAATGGTATTTCATTTATTGTTTGCTCTTGTTGAAATTTAATTTATTAATAATCAAAAATTTTCTTTTCTAATAACAAACAAATTCATAGAACAATAAATTTAACTTCAAGAATTTAAACAAGTGTAAAAACACAGTTTAATTACCCTACATTTACTGAGGATCGCCAATATATCATAATAAGATATTTTATTTAAAATGGTATTTCATTTATTGTTTGCTCTTGTTGAAAGTTAATTTATTAATAATCAAAAATTTTCTTTTCTAATAAGAAATTCATAGAACTCTTAATTTAACTTCAAGAATTTAAACAAGTGTAAAAACATATACTTTAATTACGCACAAAATCCTGAACAGACATAATGATTGGCGTTTCCATTTTCATCTCCATGAGCTAGTACCAGCCTTTTGTTTAATGGAATATCCGTTAAATAAACTGCCATTAACTTAAAATTCGTGATTATTTCAATTATGACTACCCACCCAAATGTTTAAGTAATTTGTAATAAGCATTTTCTCTTTTCATACCTAACATAGCTGAAAATTAACTACTTGCGTGGACAATACACACGCGAAGTTGGAAAGTGCAATACTAATAAAAGTGGTGCTGGTACTGACGAAGCTTACGTCCCAAATGCATTTTGGTTTAAGAATCTAGGTTTTCTTACCAAATTTTTAAAGGTCCGTAAAGGAGAAAATAATTCTTCGGTATGTAAAGCAAACCATAAACATTGTGACCATTGGTTCAACTTGAGGATGTTTTGCTCGACGCATAGCACATGCATACATCGTAGGTGAGTTTCATTTATCCACTAAATTCTGAAAAATGGAAGGCTCAGCCGAGGTGCGTGTTTTAGTTGAGCTGTTAGAGTTGAACCTGCGGTCGCAAAGCTAGTGGCTTGCATAATGCTTGCGTTGATTACAAATATATTTGTTTAGTTCCTGTAAACTATGTACATAACTAATATTTTTTATTCCAGTTTCCAGATGATTCCGTAAATTCACACAATTCTGAGAGAGAGTCGTCGTCTCCCACTGGGCCAAGCAAAAAGCGAGCACGGCCAAGTAATGAAATTGCAGCATCTGCAAAGGAAAACGATGTGCTAGAAGCTGCAATTGAGGCATTGAAGTGTGTTACAAAGAAAACAAGTTCGGATTTGGATGCCAATGACGACGCCTTCTGCAAGTTCTTAATGCAAGAATTCCGTACGCTTCAAAATGTAGAAATCAAAGAGGAACTGAAGGAATCTTTTGTTCATTTACTCTTCCAAGCTAAAAAAAAAGAAAGGAAAATGGTGCAAAGTTCATATGAAGTCACCTTATATGACTGAGACTTATAATAATAATAATATTTGGGCGCTCTAACTTTTGCTAAAGCGTTTGGTAGAGCTTCACCAATTCGTGGTGTGCGTATTGATGTTGTTACACTGAACGGCAAATGGATGTTATGAGAAGCTGTTTTATGGCGGAAATACATTCTGTGGTAGTACGCATATCTAACCACTAGGCCACGGCCGCAGCCTTTAAGCTTTTTATAAATTAAGCTAGTTTACAAATAGATGATGTGCGATGAAATAGAGCCACGAACTATTGACAAGTTTGGACTTTTTTGTGTGTTAAATTTTACATATCGTTACCTTAATTCACAAAGGCCGTAAGCAACACTTTTTTCGAAACTGCGTTTTTACAGATTTTGATAGGATGTATTAAATACACCTTCAATAAAAATGTAGTGTTGGTACCAAAAACCACGGAGTTACATGCCACTTTTTAAAAAGTCCTAGCTGGTTTTGATATAATTTTTAACCGACTTCCAAAAAAGGAGGAGGTTATCAGTTCGGCGGCATATTTTTCATTTTTATTTTTATGAAAATTGAAGTCGGTTTTGTTTGTTGCTTAAAAATTACTTATTATGTTTTACTCTTGTCCTGCAAAAAAAAAAAACATATTGGTTAGCACCTTTCCGAATTAGGGTAACGATATGTAATTTCATTCTACAACGAAAACAAATACATATGTCAATTAAAATTTCAAACATTGTGCAAAATTCAAAAAAAAAATCATCAAAATTCCTTGTAGTTAACAGGTNTACATATGTCAATTAAAATTTCAAACATTGTGCAAAATTCAAAAAAAAAAATCATCAAAATTCCTTGTATCTGGTAAAATGTTGGGATATTCATAGTTCAAATAAAACCGACTTCACAAAATGGAGAAGCTTATCAGTTCGTCGGAATATTTTTTTTAAGTATGTTGCCGCATAACTTTGGACCAAATTAACCGATTTCTATAATCCTTTTTTTTAATGAAAAGAGTTAACTCGCAGATGTTCCCATACTAGTTTGGTTTAAATCCGATCATTGGATCATAAAGAAATCAACGATAATCTTAAATTTTTATATGAGAATTGAAGTTGGTTTGGTTTTTTGCTTAAAATGCTAATTTTTGGCATAATTTCCAATGGAATTTTTGTCGAAAAAGCTGGAACTAACTTTAGAGTCGACTTTATTTCGACTATGATTGTGCCCCATTATTCCGTAGTGTATTTTATTGTTCTAAACTGAATAAAGAATATAACCACATAACCAGATATCTTGATAACCAGGTGAGTCTGAACAATCACATTGTTCTACCAATTTTTTTTGGGCTATGCAGTTTTAAGGCCGATTCAATTTTAGTAATATGTAGGTCGGCAACTTAATTTTTACAGATTTTTAACCGACTTCAAAAAAGGATATGGATAAAAATATCGATTTTTAAAAATAAAAAGGTCCAAACTCGTCAATACTTCGTGGCAGTATTTTATCACGGCCGCACTGGTGTAGTGGTGAGCAGTGCGCACTTCCACTCCGCAGGGCCTGGGTTCAAGCCCTGGTCAAGCCAACGGGCGCGTTCAGAAATGCATCAAGCCAAAGCATCAGTCTCTTTTATTTCTAAACTATAATTGATGGAAATGTCAAATATGCGCAACCACGGTTTATAGCCGAATTGAAACTTAGTTGAGCAAGTAAGACATTCCATCAATTATATTTTAGAAATAAAAGACTCTGATGCTTTAGCCTGATGCATTTCTGAACGCACCCAACAACGCAAAAAAATTTAGAAAAACAGTTTTTTTTTAACACCTCAAACACCGCAAACCTCAGGTGTATTTCTGCCATGAAAAACAGCTTCTCAAAAAAAATACAATCGCCGTTCGAAGTCGGCGTAAAACTGTAGGTCCCTCCCCTTTGTGTGACAACATCAAGGCGCGCATATCTCAAATCGGAGTAGAAGCCCGGCCAAACACTAACATATGTGTAAGCGCCAACCTAGTGGTATTACATTTATGAAATATACTTAGTACTAAATTTAAGCATAATTTAAGGTCGCTGAATACTATACTGCTTATCAAAAATGTTAGCTTCAATTATTTATTTTTAACAGAGTTCACAAAAGGAGGTTATCTATTCGTCGGAATACATTTTTTTTTTTTATTGTATGTTACCACATAACTTTGGACCACGTGAACAGATTCCTATAATTTTTTTTTCAAAGGAAAGGTGGTTCCTCAGAGGTGGTCCCATACTAATTTGGTTTAATCTCGATCATTGCAACATGAAGAAATTAACAGTACTCTTACATTTGAATATGAGAATTTAAGTCGGTATTGTTTTTTGCTTAAATATTACTCGTTAACTTTTAATTTAAGTACGAAAAAATCGAAAGTAAAATGTAAGTTACATACGAGTTCTTAAGGTTGCTACATTTTCATAATTCCTTTTAACTAGAAACAATTTAGTGTTAGAAATTTTGCATTAAAAGTATCTATCATATACATACTTATGTATGTACATATGTATATCCTAATTTTAATTTTTTAAGTAATATTAATTGGAGATGAATACACAAATGGGAACGTTCCCACGACAGTCGGGTCTACGTAACCGGAACGACCCAGATTTATATCTGGCCAAGGACTGTCACTCCAGCAACACTCCCCAAAAAGTCTTTGGGGATTTTGTATGCTGCTACAACAACAACAACAACACAAATGGGTATTTAAAAATTAAAGTTTTTTATTGCATTAAATTGCCATGGAACATAACCAATTGTATTAAAATACTGTGTGTAAGTTTCCCGCACTATTCTTCCCTCCGTCTCTGAGCGGGTTTCAAGTGATCTTTGCAAGCTGGTTAAAAATACTTCATTTCTCCAAGATCCATCAGTTAAACTTATTGCATCTGTATCCTCAGAGTCCAGTAAAGCACTTTCAAAACCATCCCGTGTTCCAATGAAGTTGTGTAAGGCGCACGCTGCTAGGGTTAAAACCTTTACTTTTTCCATAGGTAAATCAATACTTCTCTGAAGTATTTGGAATCTGCTTGCCAATATTCCAAAGCCATTTTCAACTACTCGTTTGGCCCTACTCAAACGGTAATTAAAAATTTTGTGGAAATCACTTGTTGGTTGGTCATGTAGTTTTAGTATGCGAGAAGTTAACTTGAAAGCGTCATCCGCTACAAATACAAATGGGACCTTTTCGCTAGTGCCAGGTAGTTCTGAATCCGGTGGAATATTAAACCCATTGTTTCTTATTTCTTCCAAAAAATAGGATTCATTGACAGCTGCAGCATCATTGGCTCTCCCATTTGTGCAAACATTAACGTATAAAAATTTATAATTTGCATCGACTATGGCTAACAGTATAACACTGTGAAATCCCATATAATTATCAAAATAAGGCCCATAATCTTTTCGATAACGAAGGGCTATATGTTTCCCATCTGTAATTTTTAAAAGATATACATATATCAGTAATAATATGTACTTAACATCAATTTGAGGACTTCAAACCTATAGCACCCAAGCAGTGTGGAAAATTCCACTTCCTTTCAAACTCATTTGCTACAATGTGCCATTCATTGCTAGTTTGAGGCATCTAGGAATAACAAAAATTGTTGGAAGCAATTAATAGAACAGATGTATAGTATTTGTCACATGGCCTTACATTTAAAAATTCATCCTTTAAGACTGAATAAATAGCTTTTAAAGTTGGGTGAACAATTTGTGAAATTGCTGAAACAGAGGCTCGGAATCCGTGCGATAATTGAGTAAACGTTTCGCCTGTGGCTAAATAACGAAGAGTTATAAGCAACCTACGGATAAAGTGCAGTTTTTTATAATACTATTTAAACATATCGACGCCTCAAAATCCTACCATGCTAAGTCACCTTAGACTTAGTCAGACTTAGCTTAGTATGGTTTGGGGGCGTCGATATGTAGTGCATATCTGTGGTCATAAGCAATAAGCGCCTAAGTCGAAAAAAACCTGAATTCGAGAAAAAACGTTTTAAACATTAGGGGGATTGCGGTTGAAGAATACCATAGTATACATAACTCCATTCTTTCTTAAGTTGACTTAGGCAGTTATTGCTTGTGACGACAGATATTAGGGGTATTATTTCCTTGTCTTGCAAAGCCCTTGCACGGTGTGCACCGATTGCACGGTTTGCAAAGCTGTCCCATACGAAAACCGGTTTTTACCGCGCAAACTGTGCACCATGCAAGGGCTTTGCAAGACTCAGAGAATACCCCCATTATATAGTATAATAAAGACCTCGCGCTAGGAGAGATTGCCTCGCGCATCGTTGTGTCTTGTTTTGCAATAATTATACTGATTTTTTCTAGTAGTTCAGAAAATGTACTTGTTGACATCCTGGCGAAATCGTGAAAAGCGTTGGGATTTCCCGTGTACAGCTCTGTCATAGCCATTGAAGCTAGTCCCCGACCAGAGTCTCTGAGCAATAGCCATTTGTCGCTCCAGAACTTTCTTCGTCGTGCTTTTTTCTTTAACTTTATTTTTTTTTTCAAAATTGCGGCGGACATTGAAATAGCGCACAAAGCAATATTTTTATTTCTCTCATCCATTTATACTGCTTTTTTTTTTGAAATTTAACTTTGCTCCCTTTACTTGTACAAAAGCTTGGGCGTCTTATTTGGCCAGCAATAATCCTTTAAAACGCCATCTCCAATTATTGGTTACAAAAACTAATCGCAGTTATAAGTCCATTTTTATATCACTTAAAACACCTAGGGATTGCTCCATATGCTTTCCCATTCTTATTTGGATGGAATTCTTCTATTGATGTGCCATTTCTGATTACTGGATATTTGTTTCTGGTATTAATGTATTTGTTACACTGAAAGATTATATGATTTGTATCTTCTGTTATGCTGCAAGATTCACAATTCGAATTTGTTTATACATTCATTTTTGGTAAGTATTTTTACGGAATGTGTGATTTCTCATTATTCTGTTTATTTGTTTTAAAGCTGAAATTAGTCAAGAACGTAAACCTACCGGTACGTAAACCCGAGTCAGCTGACACGATCTGTCCTACCAAAGCGCCATGTAAATGAAAACTCAGCACCGCAGAATTTTTCTGTAGTTGTAGCCCGTAGCGCAGAAATCTGCGGAATTTAGATTTTTCCGTGTCAGCTGATTTCTCCTTCTTTAGATGGTTGCCACTTCGTCAGTTTTACAGATGGTAAAAAAGATATAAGTTCCTACTCAAAATATGTTTAAAATATTTGAAATTTACTATTGAATAAGGTTTTTGTTGAAAACTAAGTAGTTTATATTTAGCTAAAATCTATTATAGCACGAAAAATTGCAGTTGAAAAGGTAAGTTTATGAAAAGGCATTGATGAGTGGCAACAGTGTAGTAAGCAACACTGAGGGCTCCAGTAATCGACAAAATTCTGCGTATACAGACTGCGTTTAAGTATACGTTCTGCGTTCTCGACTAATTTCAGCTTTGCCTTTTGCCTTTTCATAAACTTACCCTTTCAACCACAATTTTTCGTGCTATAATAGATTGTAACTAAATATAAACTACTTAGTTTTCAACAAAAACCTTATTTAATAGTAAATTTCAAATATTTTAAACATATTTCGAATAGGAACTTATAACTTTTTTACCATCTGCAAAACTGACGAAGTGGCAACCATCTAAAGAAGGAGAAATCAGCTGACACGGAAAAATCTAAATTCCGCAGATTTCTGCGCTACGGGCTACAACTACAGAAAAATTCTGCGGTGTTGAGTTTTCATTTACATGGCGCTTTGGTAAGACAGATCGTGTCAGCTGACTCGGGTTTACGTACCGGTAGGTTTACGTTCTTGACTAATTTCAGCTTAAATCAATAGGCGTGAAATCGCATGACGCAATCATAGTTGCGTTCGATAACAAAAGTTGCGATCCCGTACGAGTCCGGACTAGTCAGAAATAAGGTTTGTTCGTCGAAAATCCAGCAAGAATTATCCAACACTCAAAATATCAGAGAGTAAGAAAACATTTTCTCAAATTCTCTCTCATGTTGAGAAACTTGCAAATTTCTGCACGAACGCAAATTTGCAGGAATTTGCAAGTTTCCCTGCCAGCTGGCGTCCACGGTTGCATTTCAAACATAAACATTTTTTATAGAATTTTTAAAATTCTTTCGGATGGCCAAAAACAGGATATACATGTATATTTCTTGTTGTTCTGAAAGTCGTTCCTATTGACATAAAACCTGTAAGTGGGAACACATTTGAGAGAGTAACTGAGCAACTGTTCCTATCAGAAGTTACAGGATTTAGTCCGGAGATTTTTTTCCTGTAAGTTCATGAAAAGTGTCAAACGATCAGCTGATTTACATGTGCAAACAAAAACAGAAAGCGGTGAAAGCAAAGAACCTTATATTTGTTTAAAAATGGAAGTAAACAACGAAATATTTGAATATGTATAGATTTTAATAATTATTTAGTGATATTTCAGCCAAATCAGTGTAGTACCAATGACGTGTAAACAAACCGTCTGACGTTTTTACAGGAAATAGTGCGTTTTGCGTTCCTATGCACTTATGCATCTGTTCTCCTTTTACTCTCATTTGAGAGCGTAAAATTGTAGTTTGACAGTTCCACAGGTTTTAGTCCGAAGTTCAAAGGAACAGACTAAATATATGCCCGTTCCATTATTTCTTGAGGAAAGAGTGAGGCAACAGGCTGTGAGGTATAAAAAATGTCAAAATTCCTTGGACACACACGCGAAATAATAGGTTCGTTCGCGTAGCTGTAAATTGTTCATGTTTAATCAAAACTTACAAGTTTTTGCGTTCGCGTACGCAAAAAACTTGCAAAGTAGGGGAAATTGAGAGAGCAAAGTGACATTTCATTTTGAGGGGAAGCTGCTGGTTTCTGCTGGAAAAATTTTTGCCAACAGCAATTTGCCAACAGG